TCCAACATTTTTTTTCTATCAAATAACCAAGGAAAAATGGGAAAAGAAACACTGATAAAATGTTTCAACCGTTTTCATCGTCTAAAGTGCTGCAGATTCATCTACCCTCTAGCGTAGCTAATCCCAAAATGAATAGATTGAATGAAAAATAACTTCCAAAGAGATCATCAGGCAGGTGCTCTGACAGACCGCTCCCAATTTTGGCCTAAACACGTCGCGTACGCTGCTTCATTTAACATTCAGTTTTCATTTGTTGGTCACAGAAAGGGGAAACCGCTCTGTCGTCGAATTTGAACACATGAGGTTAAGTGAATTACTCTGAGCTCAAAGGAGAAAGCAACTGCAAACAGGTCTCATTGAATTGGGCTAATTGGTACTCTCTCTCTCTCTCGAGTGTAAGCTGTGTAAACCTCTGTAGGAAGCGCTTAGACGTGCAAAGTCTAGAAGAGCCGTTGAACAAGTGCTGACTCACAGTTAAAATATCACTGCGTACATTACTCATGAATAGCCTCATATAGAGCTCAGGATAGTATTCCCTGGAAAGCAAAATACCAATTGGCTGAAAAACTTTGCTGACACCTACTGGTTCCTTAGAAACAGGAAATCAGTGAAGTACCTCTAGAACACCACTTTACCGCTTGTTCGTTAAAGCGCGTTGATCCGGTATTGGTGTGAAATGCATCACTGCCCCAGAATTAGGTAGCAATCACGCAATGTTCCACAAGAAGTTAACTAGTTTTTTAGAACTGTGTGACGTAACAATTTCTATCAGCTCCAAAGTTGGTTTTTCCTTGATGAAATGGGAATCTAACGAGTCAGAATAGATTTGTCTCTCCTCCAGGACCACAACATCATTTCCGTTTAGACAATACCACACATCGGCATAGAAAACTGACGATGGGGAGGCTCGCTACAATCGTGACATGATGGAGCTATGTTGGACTAAAATGGTGAGCTTTGTAACCTAATGGTATTGATCCGAACGAGCTCATTACTCGCATTCCACGGCTCCTGGTCTATGTTCACATCATTTGAGGATATATATATATATAATTAGCAATGCACACAGATAGATTTGATTCAGAGATTCTTCATTTTATAACTAATGTAGCAGCATTCTGTTCACCACTGTCTTCTGACTGATCTCTTTAAGCCAAAATTTCCAAGCTTTTGGACCGTTCTGGTGCTATATGTGTTTGAAAAAACGGCACACACACACATGCAAGTAGGTTGGATCATAGAAAGCCAACAGATTACCCGCCTTTCCAAATACATCCCCAATTCACCTTATTTTGACGACGATTGCTCAATCACCACAACGTTTTGAAAAACTGGGCTCTTATGCGACCCAGATAAAAGGAATGGACGCAAACATCGGGAATTTCTCGAATGAGAATGCTGTCGGTCAGTAACCTCAGTTCATCTTCTCCGTACCAATTCAACAAAATAATGGATTAAGAACAATGCAGCGAATATGGGCCGAAGAGCAGAAGACGAAATCATATAAACTAAACACCGGTGGTAGAGAATTGGTGTACCGGAGGTACACAAGACCTGACCTCGTCCGGTGCTAAAAGGCACGGTTGCAAAGCAAATCACTCCGTTTCGGTAATTGGGCGGGAATCAAAATTCCAATGGAATCGAGCATAAAACATCATGTGTTGCAGATATTACCAGTATGTGCCCAAGTAATCTACAATCGACCGCAACTGTAATCGATTCACATTTGAAATTGATTCGTCAAATAAAAGAAAAGAAAATCTTCGTATTACGTTCCGAAGAAAATTGTGCACATGCATAACTATCCCTCTGTGCAACACTACACTACCGATGACGGATTTAAGCGACAGTTGAGTAGATCGTTTTTCATGCTCGAGCAGTTTTCATGATCAAGCTTGCAGTTTCGAACTGCATGACGTGGCACAGAACTGACTGATTTCTACCATTTATAATTAGTGCATAATTTGTTAATATGTTCCCATGCTATTTGGAAAGCATGGCACTACCTTTCTTTTTTGTTCCTTTCAATCATTCTTTTTCATTTTTCAGGACTGGTTTACCAATAGAATATTGATGAGATATTAAAAAGAACAAATGATTTTCTCAAATAGTTCACATTTTTGAGTCATTCAATTCATCAGTTGGATTCATCGCGGTGATATTTTTTGGGGCTGAGTGATTTACTGCATGCCTTCGATTGCGTATTTGCCCTAACGACAAGATTCATCTCGAACACACACAAACACTCCTAATATCGTTGAGGATGAACTGGTAGGCAACTTGCATTCAGGCATCAATACGCAGTAGCTGACTTTTTGTACGCATCAGAGATCACTGGGGCCTTCGACATGAGGTCGGCTCAAATGCGTGTGTGATTGTGAGTTTGTGCGGTTTTCCACTCGCTGTCTCTCTCTCAGATCCAACTGCGCACATTTTTACCGATCATGTACATGTAGTCTGCATTCTCGCTACTCCACGCTGTAAATTAATCTATCTGTGTTCTCATGTTTGAAACCGGTGGATCATTTAAATTCATCCAACCATGACAAGATGACCGGAGGGCACATTGTGTTCAAGGTCAGTCACCCAATAGCATAGCACACACACAGACACGGAGGATTGCGTTTCTCTGTGTGCCTGAGCAAGTGCTCTGTCTGTACGTCCCGGACTGACGGATTTTCAACGCATTCAGTCATCCAGACTACCGATGAGGTCATCCTGCTTTGCACAAGCGGTCCGTGCGATTGACGCTACTCTCAGTTCACATCTTTCTCTGTTATTTACGGACTTCTCTGTTTTACCTTCTCGCCTAAACTGTGCTTATGCTTACGGTCACCGACGCACACACAGAGTCTCTTATCTGCCCACCTTGTGTGCATTCATATTCACTGTGAAGTCATGCTACTGTGACCAAAGTACTAAATGATTCTCACTGGACGTGGTACACACAATGCAGCACGCATGTATAGAAGAATGTGCACAACAGTCAGGGGATTTACTCATTTACTCACACACACACACACACGCAAGCACTCTCTCTTGTTCGCTGGTTGAACACGAAAACGTTCCTTCGCTGGTTCGCAAGCACACACGAAATCAAGTAGACCTGGATATACGCCTGTCCGCATACACAATCATCCGAGCCACGCTGCAGCAACGGGCAATGTGAAGCGGGAATACGATGTATGTTCATATAAATAGAAAGACCAATGCAATTTCCTGCGAGAAATTGTTTCAGAACAAGAAGAAGAAGAAAGAGAATAGACAAAACCAGTCCAACACCACACAATGAATGAACACAAGGCAGTGATCAAGAATGCGGATATGCCGGAAGAAATGCAAAAAGAAGTGGTCGAGAGTTGTGTCCAGGCGTTGGAAAAGTTCAATATTGAAAAAGATGTGGCCGCGTTTGTGAAGAAACATTTTGATGCCAAATACAGTCCAACATGGCATTGTATTGTGGGTCGAAATTTCGGCAGGTAAGCACATTTCGTCACGTATCATAATCACATGACATCATTCTTGGTCTTCGCTTTCTTCCTCTCTCTCTCTCTCTCTGTCGCCCTTTCACAGTCTCTCTTTCGGTTATTTTTAACTTTTAGTCGCTTTTAGTCGCTATTACAAATGACCTATGTATGTCTATGTAAAATAGGATAGCCAAATCACGTGGTACGCTAAATTGACTGTAACTTATCAAGATGAGTATCAGTAAACATTGCCGAATATCGACAATACTATACATATTATTCCGATTGTAGCCAATACACATCTTGCCAGTTCACCGGTTCCGAGTACACATTCTCTGTTTTGTTTTTTTCCGCTTTCAGCTACGTGACGCATGAAACAAAACATTTTATCTATTTGTACATAGGCCAAGTTGCTGTGCTCCTGTTCAAATCGGGTTAATTGTACACTGGTTGTTTTGACGTATCATATCCGCGCATTGCTACACTCAGCTCCGTTTGACTTTTCACTAACGCACTTCGGGAGGACGAGCGGTGGAGATGAGGTTTTTCGAAGTCTGTAGAGTGTCTAAATGCGATGGAACTGGATAGCTGTTTCGTCCTGTTCGAGGTTCGTCAGCAGTGCGTAATTATTGTGGCCCGATCAGGACTCGAACAGCGAACATTTGGGTTGGGACTTCAAACCCTTGCGACGTCGATAGTCAACACCTTGTGCCAATGAGGCAATCACTATACATGGTGAATGCTTGAATTAGCACGTTTGATTTTTCACAGACATCAGGCACTGTTGATGATCTTAAGTGTGGGTTACACTCCTCGGGACATAGTTAATTCCCCACTAATGGAATGCATTTAAATGCGATGGACCGTCGGCCCTGTAGCTAAGGTGTAAGGGTTTGAATTCCCAATCCGAGAGATTAGATGTAATACTTTTACCGGAAAAGCATAGTCTGCTATAGTGAGAAAAGCCGGGCCAAAGGAGTTTATGTATGGTTGTACAGATATACAAACGGCCAAACGATATGTCCAACTGACAACAGTGAACTCTCAAAACAAAATCTATTCAGATCATTCAAATATTAAACTTCCTCAGATATATTTCAGTTCGAACAGGACCGTATGATTGCGGTTTCGATGGCCTTGAGGTGGGTCTGATTTAGTCATTCAAATATGTCCCTTATTAATACCCGAAAGGAAATGATATTCGTGATGCGAATTCGGTTCGAAATAACGGACGATAGAAGGTGCACAATGATGTCGCTTCGCCAGTGCTAGATCTGATAACAATAACAACACTAACAAACAACAAAACTAGCGACAATGCTGAGCATTCCGTCCTCACATCATCCTGTGGGTAGACTACATGGCAATCCCTATCGGTAACTTCTTTCTTTCTAGTCTTAGGTGTCTTGCAAGCTGTCCTGCGGGAGCAAACAAGCTACAGGACGATAATGACCTATGGCGATTCAATCAAACACAGACCAACTGAGCGGCAACGATGCCTTGCATGGATCTTAGGAAAAATAAAAACTTGTTTCACCGCTTTTGCAATAGTTCAAGTAAGCGAAAATATAACTAATAAAAAGTAAAAAGTATTTTGTTGTCTGTGCTTGATAAAAATGGATCAGTCTGTATAATATGTTTGAATTGTTGTCTGGCGGATTGAATATTTTATGTCGAGATTGCGAAAAGTTCAAAAAGGCTTCAATCTGCCAAACAAAAATGTGGACAGTTAACATTCCCTTGGAAATTCATACGGTGGACGCTGGTGAATTCTAAGGAAAACCTGTCGGGGCAGTCAGCTTATATGCTATCTGGTGGATGCCCTACTCTTCTGTAAGTTGGATGGGTACTTCGAATGTGAAAAGATCGGTGCTATCAGCCTTGCCTCGTAGCTCAGTTGGTAGAGCGTGCGCTGTATAACGTCGTAGACGGCGTCCATGCGTGGGTTCAAATCTGTATGATGGCATTTCATTTCAGTACAGAATGTCCAGCGGATCAGAAATGGCCGATATGAGAATAATAATTGTGAAAATAACTTTCTGCTTTTGACCTTTTGCCCATGCAATTTTATAATAAACTTTATAGATGTGGTCATGTAACAGGCGTTCAGGTTAGGTCCGAAACGTGAGGGTACCACAGCCATAGTCGGATTCGAACTCACGATCTGCGGATCAGTAGGAAGGCCGCGTTATTCACTGAACCCTAACCATTAGCATATGATTTACGTCATTACCAATAGTGCTGTAAATGAGGTTACCTCCAAACACATGGTTAAATAACGATACATACGGCCCTTAATTTCCAGCCATGACTGTAGTAAAACCACATAAAAATTTTAAAATCCAATCCATCCACCCAGAGACCCATATATGGAGGTTTGAGAACGCTGCCTGAGATAGTAGCTTTCCACCGAAAGAATTGAATTCTGTTTATCTGAACGCCATCCCAAATAATAATACAATTCACATTACATATTTGTTATGTTCTGAATACAGCCAGATGCACATGGAAGGATGATCAGCAAACGGGGAATTCCCGTTTCATTGCTTCCATGGAACCGGTTCCCACTGACACGAATGGTTATCATTTTTCGTTCTTTGCAAATCAGCACTTGAGTCATCGAGTCGATTAGAAAACATTTTGAAGAAAATATTGATTCATCCGACAAAACGTTTGATCACGAATATCATGTCAAGTGTCCATTGAAGTCTGTTTGATTGGATTGTTGATAAACAAAAAGACAGATTCCATAATTCAGAGATGACGATACTTTTCTTTTTACAGCCTTTTGTTGCAAATAAACATATATGATTGTACAGAAAATGATGCAGGAAGAGGATACATGGCCAATCCAATGGATGTATTACATAGAAACCGGATAAAGTTAGGTGGCGTTGGTGGGATTAGAATACACGTCCTCCAGGGAGATAAGTTGGTTTTTGATCGCCACCCAGTCCTTGTTCAGTAACAATACGTACTAAGATTCTTCTCTGGCAATGAACGATGTAAAACTAATTGCAAATTGACGGCATTTCTGTTTTCCTTGAACGACTGGGAGAGAAACTGACATTTCTGCGATTGCTAACACGTGAGGTAGATACGTTTTATGATGAGTTGTAAGCCACATATTTGAATAGAAACGCTTGAAATCTTCCCAGCTCCACTAGTTTAATATACACGTGAATTACTAATTGATTTACTCAAACCTAGTTTGATGATTTTTTTCTTGTTTCTGGCCCTCGTGATCCATGTTTCTGTGAAATAATAATGTTTGCGTCGTCGATTCTAAAATCTGGAGCCAAAGGTGTATTATCCAGTCGGACATGTGAGTTTCTCCCCATTTAGCATGTAATCTATATGAATGAGAGTACTGTTAGGTTATCACTGACTGGGGCGGGAAGATTTTCTGTGGTACACAGCTCGGTAGACAGCAAAAGTGCTTTCCCAAACTTTCTAGTTAGGAGCCGAAGCTTGTACTCGGTTGCCGGACAATTGGTGTGTTAAGTTGCAGGTCCTTGCTTTGCGAAAATATTTACCATCGCGTTTGAAGTCCTGGTCGGTCCCAGATTAAGGAGTAGAGAGTGCCGGGTTTGATTCTGAATAATGGACACAAACAGTCGATGAAAAAAAAATCCCGCGCGAATTTGATCCCGTCGTCTGTAACAGTCTGTGATGAACCATACATGAGTAAGTTTGTTAAGCTTAGGTAGGGTTTAGGTTAAAAGAGGTTTCAAGTCGAAATAGTGAAATGGAAACTTGAATTTTCACGGGATGGAGGTTTTATGATTGAGAAGTGAAGATGTCACTGAATCTGTTGCTCCTGCTTTCTCTTGAATTAACTCAATTCGGGTGTGAACTAACAGTTCCAGTCAGAAGACGGTGGATTCGACAAATGATGAGTGCTCCAGCTCGCGAAATTATGACTGGCCGCTGATGAAGTTGCAAACGGTTACCAGAAAAGCGAATGATTTAGCACAACAGAATGAACAATGTTTCTCAACTACATTGAGCACCTAAATTTCCCAATTTGGAACTGGGGTTTTAGGTAGTACCCACACACATACTATCCTCAGACAAAATCTAAGACGCACTTTGAGATTGTGGAAAATCAGTGTCTCAAGAGCGGTCGGCTTTTTTCTGAAATCTCATCATTAGTATTGTATTTTTAAGACCAGCACAAACTAAAATCATTGATAAATAACTTATTTACAAATTGATACAACAGTCTAATGACGAAACCTCTGGACAACTTTCACCACCCATAGAACATTTCCCACTATTGGATTTATCTAAAAAGTTACTAAAGTGAACAAAAGAAGCTCCTTGTGGTAGCCCATTTTGTCAATATACAAAATAGTCAGTGACATAGAAAAACAAGCGGTCCGATTATCGTCAATTACTTTTTCTATATCCTTTCAGCTGTCTAATTCAATCATTACAAAAGAATTCAAAGAATTAATGTGGGACATTGTCTCCCCAATAATACCCGAACTGCGGTACACGTTCACAATACTCCTGAAAACGCATCATCTCTGGAGTCACCAAAAATGATCACGCTGCAATGATGACCATGGTATGCCCAGATTAAAACGCGTTTGCATGATATGGAGAGGTATCCTTTCCATTTCTAACTTCTATATCCTAAACCAACAGCTCAGAAAAATATTATTGTATCTCAGTTTTTCCTTCACAAATGATTCACTGGGTTCATTTTCTTATGAGGAAAAACAGTATAATCTGAGTTATTATAACATTAATTTCAAAAACATTACGTGCAATATGAGAGCATCTAATGTTTAGTAATATTAAAGTTATGTGAAAGGTTTTATTTAGCGATCGATTGGGAATTCCTCTCCAATTTCGATCATCCGGCTTGCACAGAACTGAATCAACAACAACTGCAACAATCTCTTTTGAGTATCAAAAACCTGAATACTTGTACATGCAAATGCTATATTGTGCGTGTTGCCGAGCAAGCAGGCTATGGTGGCATCACTGCAGCTTTTTATCTTTGTGAACTGGTATAGTTGGAGATTTTGTCGTCGAAGGCGTCAACTGCATCGAATGTCGGAACTTTAAGGACCGCGAAACAAACTTTGTTCAACCTCTACCCTTCGATTCGTCAAATACCATTAGATCTTCTACATTGCACAGTGCCTTCAGTGTTACTCGTTTGCTCCAGTTTATTCCACCATAAGCATGAGGCACAAAGCTCTAGCACACCGCCACTCAACTTTGCCAGAATGTAATTTCTCTGATAATACTGTGTGCTAAAGAAAAATTACTTAAGAGTAACCGAAGCTTCGTTGTATAATCTTCCCCAAACGAGCATATGGAAAAAATCTAAATGTGGTATTGTCCTGTATGGTTGCTGTCTTTTGGCGTCCCATTTGGATAAAAGAGCAGAATGAAGATTGAATATTGAGAACAGAGTCGAAG